TTTTATTTCATGTGTATGAGTGTTATGACTGCATGTAGGTAAGTGCATCTGTGTTGTGCAATGCCCAAGGAGGACAGAAGAGGCACTAGGATCCCCTGGGACTGGAGTTACGGACAGTTGTTAGCTGCCATGTGGGTGCTGGGATTCAAACCCGGGTCTTCTGCAAGAACAATCAGTGTTCTTAACTGCTGAGCCATCTCTCCAGCCTCCATTTCATATTCTTAATAACTTTTTCCTAGTGATTACCTTTAATTCTTGCTATAATATTTTATTCCCACAATCTCAGTAACTATAAAATATTTCATGATTTTTAAATTTTTTAAGTTAGTTTGTATAAGGGTTTTGCCTCCATGTATGTAAGTGCACCCCTGTTGTGCAATGCCCACAGAGACCAGAAAAGTACATCGTATCCCCTGGAACAGCAGTTATGGATGGTTGTTAGCTGCCATGTGGGTGCTGGGAACTGAATCCAGGTCTTCTTCAAGAAGAGCCAGTGCTCTTTATCACTGAGCCATCTCTCTAGCCCCTTACATAAATTTCTATTCTACCAGGGTGGAAAGGATTGCACAAAAAAAAAAAAAAAAAAATCTATCATTTAAGCGACACTAAACCGAGTACTTAATCTCAAAAATAGTAAGTTCTCTCATTCCCAAAATGCATGTTCCTTTTTTCTTCCTGTCCTGCAAGAGAAACGATCTACTTCAATTTTTAATTATATGCAGTAATTAACTAAAATTATGCAACAGCCATAATACACTACAACATATAAGGAACACCAGTACAAGAAGGCTATAAACACAGCTACAACTTGGCAAATAATCCAGTGAAAAAATTCACAGTAAAAGACAGTGGAAGGTGCCGGGAGTCGAGCCCTGAGAGGTGCTCTCTCTCTCCAGTCTTCATGTATCAAATGCTTCTTTCTGTTGGTAGATAAAAGCAGGTTCACTTGTATGGGGCATCGGTACAAACAGTTGTTGTGTTCCACCTCACAAATGACTACGTTCATCGAGTTTATGCTCAGTGGAGCAGTGTTTGCAAACCACTTAGGTTCCAGGATGGAAAGAGCTACAGAAACGAAACATCTTGTCCTCCTCTGAGCTTTGTCACTAGCCTCTGTGAGCCACAGGTTACAGGGCACTAAACACTACGTACTGTGTGTTTGCTCCCAACCACTAGGAAAAATAGCCTATAACATCTTTCTGAAGACTCCTAGGAATTTTTAACTTAATTTAAAATCCGGGAATTTAACTAGGACATACTTTAATTCTTAGAATTAGTTCCTGTCAAAATATCTCATTAATTCTTTCTGGGGGTCAATTCAATTGGTTTTGACCAACACTATTCAATAGACTGTTGCTCCAGTTTTAACGTTATCATGAGAAAAAGTGAAGAAGATAAAATAATTAATTTTTTTAAAGCCAAGTGAGCTTCCAGCCTTCAAATAGGCTTCCCTCTTGGTATTAAATGGTTTAAAAAAACAGATTCACATGGGCAAAAAAAATTCAATGGCTTAATACCCCAGACTTATATAAGATAATTCTTACACAACAGAAAAGTTAGAAATATGTAAAATAATTCTATATACAATGAATAAGTTAGATGAGTTTATTCAAAATGCTAACTAGCATTAACTTATTAAGTTGATGGCCTTAAAATAGCTTGCCAAAACATTATTTAAGAATGTTTTTGGAGGGGCTGGAGAGATGGCTCAGCAGTTAAGAACTTTGGTTGTTCTTGCAGAAGACCCGGGTTCGAATCCCAGCACCCACATAGCGACTAACAATTGTCTTTAGCTCCAGTCCCAGGGGATCCGACAGCCTCCTTTTGACCAATGCAGGCATTGCATGACATGGGTGCACTTACCTACATGCAGGCAATAGACGCAAACACATAAAAAAAAAATAATTTAAAAAAAAAAAAAAAAAAAGAATGTTTTTGGAAGCTGGAGAGATGACTCAGTGGTTAAGAGCATTAACTGCTCTTGCAGAAGACCCAAGTTTGAGTCCCAGCACCTACATGGTGGGTAACAACGGTCCCATAACTCCAGTTTCAAGGGATCAGATGCCCTCTTCTGACCTCTGTGGGCATTGCATGACATGGGTCCACTTAAATACATGCAGGCAACACACTCATACAAATAAAATAAAAATAAAGTTTTTAAAAAAGGTTCGGCACAGGGGCACAGCTTTAATCCCAGCACTTGAGAGGCAGAGGCAGACAAATCTCTGTGAGATCGAGGCCAGGCTGGTCCGCATAGCGAGTGCCAGGCCAGCTAGGGCTACAGGGAGACCCTGTCTCAAAAAGACCAAAAAAAGAAAGTTTTAAAAAAAGAATGTTTTTATCCTGTACCATGTGTGCTAACGTCCAAAGTATTCATGAAATGGGTAATAGAAAGTATGTACAGCTGTTGAAGTAATATGGACCTACTCTAAAAAAATAATTGTATGATTATAAAATACGAAGTTATTAAATATATCGGAATATGTTTGAGAGCAATGCTTTTAAAAAGTGACATCTTCCCCAGTGCTCATAGTGAACCACTGTTTCCCTGGCTGGGACATACTGTTTACATATATTTCAACAAAATAGTACAGTGGTAAATGCACTTTTGTGTATTTTACATACCATTTAGTTCAGAATTACTGGAAAGCACAAAAATGTTACTGCACTGCCATTCGCGCATGACAATTTCTCTGATCATCTCAGAATTCCCAGTTTCTTAGGATGTTTCTCAGAAACACCATGTAGTATGGCTGTTTAGCACAACAGGGTATGTCCTTGTAACAGTCGCAGAAATTGTGAAGAATAAACTGCATAAGACATCCGCAAAAGTAGTCAACATGCACCACCAATTTAATGATAGTTACATGTTATTAATGTACTAAATTCCACTGATTACAGATCTGAGAATAGTTAACTTATATTTTGCGACTTTCACATAAGTAGTGATTTTTTTATATGACACTAACAAATTTTTAATAATTTAGATAACTTATATGATTTTTAAAATTTTATCTATTTTTATTTTATGTATATAAGTGGTTTGCCTACATGTATTTAAATGCACCACATGCATGCAATGTGCCGGAAAAGGACATCAGGTCCCCTGAACTGGCAGTTACAGATTCTTGTTAAGCACCATTGTGGCTGCTGGGAACTGAACCTGGGTGCTCTGTAAGAGCAGCCAGTACTCTTAACCGCTGAGCCATCTCTCCGGGCCCTAAATCTAACCAGTTTAATAATAATTTAAAAAAAAAAAATTAAAGGACTACGGATATAGTTTAGCAGTAAGGTTTTTGGCTAGTATGTGTAAGGCCCTGGGTCTGATCCCCAGCACCACAGAGGAAAAACTAAAACTGCCAAAGAAAAAATTCACAAAACTCAGAGATAAACCTTTAAAAAATGAATGGGAGGCTAGGTATGGTAGTAAACACCTTTAATTCCAGCACTTGGAGGCATAGGGAAGCAGATCTCTGTGAGACTAATGCCAGCCTGGTCTGTATAGCAAGTTCCAGGCCAGCTAGGGCTATAAGGTGACCCTGTCTCCCTTTCTCAAAAAAAAAAAAAAAAAGAAAAGGAGAGAAAGAGAAAAAAAGAATGTGCATAAAGCTATCAAGTCATATAATCTGAAGCGTAAAGGTTAAACTAGCAGAAAGATTTTGCAGAAGAAAAAGAATGATGTAAAAAAGACAGAGTCAAATATAATGGAAAAGAAGCCTCTAAGGCACTGAATACACGATTGAGAACCATGTTGGTTTCATTTATAGTTCTCAATATTTTATAGAATAAATTAGATTCTATTTTCCATGGTATTTCCTAAGAGCCGATTTTGATCAAGTAGAGTCCTGTTTCTAGCCTACAGATTCATGTTTTATAAGAAACAGATTCACTTAACCAAATTATACTTCTCATACTGAATACATAAAAGTTCCAATACAGAACTACAAACATTTGGAGTATTATCCTCATGTCTCATGACGTAAAGGTACAAACTAAAACTGGAAACAAAAGCAGAAATAAATTAACACATAAACAGGGCCTGTGTACCAGGTAGGTGCCACAGACCTCATTTCCAATGGCATATGTATGTTACTTCATTAGACAATGGCATTCAATGGAATGATCTATTTCCTAGTCTCTGACAATAAACAAAAAGCAAGCTGCAAAGCATTAAAAAGCCAGTTATTCTTCACTGAACATGGGAAATAATTTCTAAAGTATTTTGCTAGCATATACATTTTTCTTCTTTATGATTTTATTTAAAAACATGAATTATAGCCAGGCATAGTGGTTTAACTGTAATGTTAGTACTTGGAAGACTGAGGGAGAAAGACTACTGTGAGTTTGAAGCCAGCCTGGACTAAACAGTGAGTTCCAGGCCAGCCTGAGTCACAGAATTAGACCCAATCTCAAAAAAAAAAACAAGAACATATATTATAAATTATATTCATTACGAGCTCAAATTATCAAAAAAAAATTTTAGGCATATATTCAGGCGACTATACAATTTTCTTCTGAAGTAAAGAATTATCACATATTAAACTAATGTGTGCATCACACACATAATCACATCTACCTTTCTGATGCAAAAGATGTTCTATTAGTCTGAATTATAATTATTTAGTAGACCAATATATAGGCCAAAAAGGCAGACATACGAATATTTGTCTTCAGTTTCTTGAAACTAAATTTCCCCTCCTGTTTTTCACTCAGTTTATATGACATCAGTCATCAGAGCCAAACCACTGCACTCAGTCAACAAATGACAACTGTAGTTAGTAAAATAAGTATTATATGAAAGCTTCCAAGAGTTTTCCAATTCCCAACAAATCATTCCAAACAATCTGGGAAGGAGGAAACCAAAGCACTAGTACATGAGAAATTGGTTCAGATTTAAAAAAAAAAAATCATACTAGAATGTGTGTATGTGATGTGTGCCTGTGCGCTTTTGTAAAGACAGTACTTAACCTATTTGAATAATCATAGAATTCATGTCTTACCTGTGCTCCATAGATATATTTATCCAACATCTTTCCACCTATTGTCTGTCCTCCTATATCCCAAACTTGAAGAGTCACATTCAAATTTCCTAAAATATAAAAATAAGAATACAAAAGAGTAACAATCTAACATATGAACAGTTTCATAGAATACTAAGTAACAATGATAAATTCTGACACCAATTTGTATTTTATTCTGAAAATTCACATGGTCAGATATTTAAATCTGAAAACAGTGTTGTCAAACAAATCATAGTAGGGAAACTTTAGTCCATATTTCCATGGAAATACATTTATAATTTCCTTCAGTATAAAATAAAATACATTTTGATTTATAAACTTAAGCCTTAACAAAAATATTCTCAGAGAACAGATCAATATAAAGTACATATACACTAAGAAAAATACTTGAAAAATGGAAGCTTGATAGATTAATGCACCCGAATACAAATATAAATTTCATAGTTGGCTCTAAATTCCATGAGTTCTAAAACTCACAGAACAACAGACTATAGAAATGACCCAAAGCTGTCAACATTCAGAGGACAAGAGACTTCAGGGTGGTCAGCCCTAAATGAGACATCTACGTCACCCCCCACACAGCTCAGGGATCATCTTGGAAGAGGGGTGGTAAGATTGCAAGAGCTGGAGCAGTAAATGCCTGCAGAGTCACAGTGCTGTCCACACAACAGGAGAGCTGCAGCACAGACTCACAGCAGTTCTGGCTGTGTGCACAAGACCTGTACAAGCACAAGCCAGATAAAAGCCCAGCCTGGAGAGGGAGGGGGCTGGGAGTCCCACAGAGGCTGTAGTCAGTTTTCTTTAAGTGGCCCTGGCAAGCCAAGACAGACAGCACAATTGGAAGGAAACAAGCAAAGAGCACATGAAGATGGGGGTAAGAAAGGTAAGGTGGACTGGGGAGGAGCTGGGGGAGGAGTGAAGAGGGAACATGATAAAAATACATGAAATTCTCAAAGAATAAAAATATTTTTAAGTGCTGCTGGACATGGTGGCACAGACTTTTAATTCCAACATTCAGAATGCAGAGGCAGGCAGATCTCAGTGAGTTCAAGGCCAGCCTGGTCTACATAGAAAGATTGAGGCCAGCTGGGGCTACAGGGAGACCCTGTCTCAAAAAGACCAAAAAAAAAAAAAAAACAATTTAAATGCACCCATAAATTTCAACTCCAATGAATCTTTAATTTGAATGTCAGCTATTGCAATAGTGAACATAAGCAAAATGTGCATGTTTTCATACTTAGCCTCTAAAATACACATTTGATAGTCCAGCCCTATTCACAACCCACACAGACCAAGTACATTTCTGAACTTCATGATGCGTACTTGTTCAAAACATGAAGACTGAAACAAATTATTTGTGCTTTGAAGCCTTCACAGAATACAGTCTAATCAATGCTTTTCCCATAATAGGCATTATAAAAGCACCCTAACACTAAAAAATCAGTATCTGAGGATCGTTTATGCGTTTTGCAAAATAGATGAAACAAAAATGTATAAATAAGGTCCTCTCTCTTATCATTACAACTAATTATTAAACTACCAAAGTCAAAGACTGTGCCTGGTATGCATTTTAGTTTAACATTTCAAACATTTTCCTCACCAAATTATGCAGTTTTCTCCAGTCTCACTTGGCACCTTCTTAATGATTTGCAAATTAGGAAAATTTTAAATAAAAGCTTAGAAACGGAAAGAATGATCTCTCTTCAGAAACAAAAAGGACTGTAAAGACAAATTTTTAAAGCGTATAAAACACTAAAATCAGAGAATGACGGTTACACTGTTTTTACTACACAAGCAAAAAGTGTGTCCCTGGATTACCACCAAAGTTTTCACTTTTAATCTTTCCATTATCTGGCTGTGGATCTGTTCCATCTGCCACAGTGTGCAGCTTTCCTGGGGGAATTTCCGTTAGCACTGAGGAGGGCTACTGAAGTTTATCACCAGCATTACTGCCACACACACGGCTTGAATGCTAAGAGTAATGACCGAACTGGTCTTAAAGCCCTATGAATTTGAAAACCTCAAGGTCACAGACTAAGTAAGACTTGTCTAACAACTTGTATAAATCCTGTTTCTTAAAAATCTAAATTTTGTGAAATCTGAAGCTGAACTCATTCTCCTCTAACACCATCTCATATTAATCAGTGAGGAAGGGCAGCCGTCACCAGAGGGCTAAGCTTCAGAGGCAAAGCCCCGTAGCTATACAGGCAGGAGTCTATCATTTTACCTGCGAAAATCTCTACAGTCCTTAGTTTCCAACAAGACAGTGCTTACAAATAGCAGTTCTCACAGAGTAAGAGTTCATTCACCACTTAATAATTATTAAAAGATATTTAATCTCATTTCTTCGAGGCCCAACGACTCCTACTCCTTAACCTTACATCAAAATGTCAGTTTTTTCCCTCCTCTCTTCCTTTACATTTTGAAACTCAGAGCCTCTCTGATCAGACACGAATACTTCCACTTTACCCCGAGGAACACATGCCACTGCGTGTTTCCAAAGTCTGGTGACAGTCCTTCCTGGTCCCTGGCTCACACACTCAGCTGTCTCTCATCTGGACTTACATTCATGTACTGAGGGTGCTTTCTAAAATCTTTACCTTTCCAAAAAAATAGTTTTTATTATTTGCTCATTTTTTTTCCCTTAAGATACAGATTCCAGCGACTCAGAAGTAAAAATTCCACTGGAATTATCAGTAATGCATACTCTGCTAGAATATTAGCAAAAGTAAATAAATACCACTTACATCATCAACAAGTAATATTAACTTTAGTTATTTCTTACGCATAGAAATATATTTTAACTTCTACATTTGAATTTTATGCTTACTAATACACAGAAGAAAAAATAAAATGGGGACTCTATTAAAGGAACAAAAACATAAAGATGTGATTCAAAATGATTTTCATTTACATTTTTGCACGCAAACATCATGATACCCATTGTATCTTCAAGGTGATATAAAGCCATAGAACATTCAAATAATCAATGTAATATTTTTAAGTAGAAAAATACATCTAAAGCAAATTTCTAATAAATAAAACACACTAGGACATTATCAGCAATCTATTCTCAAATGTAGATTGCTACAAAATTTCTGCTCCTCTGTAAGAAACGACATGTAACTAGGAAAAAAAATAAAGTGGCAAAATACAGGTAAGTTATGTGTGATATGAGTCAAAACCACCAGAAGGATTTAACAGTGACCTTGTAAAAGTACACTTGGTGCTTTGGTTAACCTTACTTAAAGTGCTGCATAGTCAGGATGGAATTAAAAACACAAGACTGCCCACTTCTTGTGCTAAAGACTTAGAAATCCTTTTCACAGTAGAACGCTGTTTACTGGACTGTACCCACAGCTTCCTGAAAGTATTTTGACTAAGGTTCTTAAGAAGCTCTATCAGCAGAATCTCTGACTAACAGATACACTATTTTAAGCAGCAAAACCTGCACAGTGGTTGCATCCAGACTATACAGCATACCGGATCATGAAATACACTAAAATGGGTGAGTGTTTGCAAAGGAATGGCCTTGAAAACATGCAAGAAGAAAATGTGAATCGATGGACAGGAGGCTTACAGCCTTAACAATATGACTTACCAGGAGGCAAAACTAGTGACAAATATTAGATTTACACTGTGCTCTATTACCATAAATGTTTTAGGTTAGCAAACAGTACAAATACTAATGATCTTACATTTAACATTATCATAAAGTGAAATTAGGGTTAAATATGTAAAGTGTGACAGCCTATGAATCTCACAATTTATTCATCTTGTTTCTTAACATGCCTAAAAATCAAATATACTAAATCAATGTTTTCATACTAAAATTTCTGTGATAATTTGAGTCCATTAAGTAGCACAAAACTGCCTTCTAAAAATACAGAATTATTTTTCTGAAACTGCTCACCAGACTGTATCAGGAAAATTAAAATATATATTAAGAGTATACATTTCCTAATGCCATTTTTAACCTAAATACTTTCTATGTATAAAAATAGAGTTATAAAATTGGATTTCAGAAATACCAACCATGTTTTATAAAACAATCACAATTTTCAAATTGGTAATGATGCAATAGGTCAAAATCACCATAAAATGGCCCAAACTAGCCTTTCTTTATATTTGAGTAAGTTTTGTTCCTTTAAGGCTTTCAACTAAAAAAATTAGAAAATTTAAACAGAATTAATGCGATAATAAATTGGTGCCTTGACTAATTAATCATCCAAACAAAACAACTGAAAACAAAATAGTATAGTGTGGCCTTCTGGACACACCTAGCATCTCTGAAGCAAACTACTGCACAAAGACAGTTTCGGTGCATGTGTTAGAATTTGTGCATGAACTCTGCTAAGTTAGTACTGTAGTGTGTAACTAAAATGATACTTTCAGTTCTGAATACCCTAAAAGAAAGATGAAACGAAGTATGCATAAGTTTCTCATTAACCCTCTTTCTGAACAATAACTGAGTAACAGAAAGTTAGAAATTTGTTTTTTTCTCATGCTGTACTAACTAATCCATTTTTCCTTAAGAGCTGAACACAGGGCATCTCAAAACCTAATAGAGAATACTGGTAAGGAGATAAAAAGAATACCTCCAATTCCCAAAAGCTTTCGTGAGCTGCTCTATAGCTTTCCTAGTGGGTTGCCAATAGATGGGAACACTGGGGAGGGTAATGTGTTTCAGCAACACTAAAACTGATCAGTTACATCCCAGTGCATTACTGGACATGACATTTGCAACCACTTTATTCAAATGTGTTTCCTCACAGATAGGGTAGAATAAAGTCAATCAAGATAAACTACTTTTAATAAAATACTTTAAATATCATTTACCCACTGAGGTTGAATAGACAGAACATTTTAAAGCCCCAATTGTTGAGAAACTAACTTAAAACATAAACCACTCTTTTTGTGTTATTATTTCCCTGAATTTCCCATAAAATGTGCTGCAACTGGCATCTACAGAGTTTCTTTGCATGGTGAACTGAAACATCTTGAATGCACAAACTGTATTTTTATGAGTGCCTAGGGACCCTAAATTTTAGTGGTCTATTAAATGCCAGCAATTTCATGCTGCCTTACATAAAACAGCATTCACATATTAGAACACAGAAGCTGCAGAGGTATATTATACATCTGCTCCACCTTCCAAACAAAAAACTAAAGCAGAAGCTAATCAAAGTAAGTTCTTTAAAAAATCCTTCCCAATCTTTTCACATCTAGTTAATATAGTATCTGCCAACAAATGTACAGCATTTGATTTTTATAAGCCTTTCAAAATTTTATAAGCAACTATTGTCTATCAAAAAAATATATATATATATATAGTTGCCAGAAACAGTAGCAAAAAGGGGAATGTGAAGACTTCTTACCCCCGTAGATAATATGCCCTCATAGTAGATGCTGATGAAAGTTAACTTCCCTAGGAAAATTTACTGGTTTCATTTACCTCCATCAAGAAGCAGCTCTGACATTTCTTTTAGAGTTCCCTGCCATAAGCTTCATTCTTCGTTCTCTAAGGTTTCTACAACCGTCTGTGTTGATATTTTGTAGTCTCTTACCTGGCAAGGTTATCCTTCTCAAAAAGAAATCCAGTCCTATAGTCTGTTTGTACTGCTTCCCAAAAGTTTCTTGAGCAAAACACGTAGCTAAGGAAGTCTAAAAAAAATTGATGCACAGAAGAGCAAAATTAATTTATTTGTTTGAAAATTTAAACATAAGACCACTACAAAACTGAAGTAATCTGAGCATACTCCAATTAATTGAAGAAAACCGTCTTTAGCAACTCCAACCAGTCACAAGGGAGGGAAGGACTCACTCAGCAGGCCAACTGCATTTGCTCTCAGCCAGCAGTGGAACCCGGGTGATTTAATCAGCTAGATTTCTTTAAGTGCCCTGATTATCAAGCAAGTGCTTTTTCCTAGATGGAAATTAGAATTTAAGAATTATAAATGGAAAAAGTAAAGCAAGAAGATGAGTTAGGATCTGAACTTTATAATGTCTTAAGTTTCACTTCTAAAGTTACATGTTCCAAGGGTGGTGGTACCATCAGTAACAATAAGCACTAATTAAGAGAAATCTGCTTGTAGAATTTCTTTTTTCTATAATAAAAAGCTGTCTTAATTTTTCTCTATACTGAAGATATTAAATGAAGATAATTATATAGTCACTATGATAATGTATACCATTTAAATAAAGAAGTTAGTATTTTCAAATTAACAGGAAGCAGGAAAAATAAGTATTTTCTATTCAAAGAAAATGCTTTACAAGTCAAAATAGTAAAACTATAACAAATATTCATGTACTTTTTAAATAAAAGCTCATTCAAGGACCCTGGGGCTTTCTTTCAGAGTACCATTTCTTACCAAAGCACAAGACTAAACCTTGCAGTAACAACTGAAATAACTCAAAAACTCAGACTTAGGCATTTCAAACGTACTGCTCTTACTTAATAACCTACATAAAAAGGGAAAAGATCTTCAACCCTGTGTCAAGACAGACTGTCAAATTTAAGGGAAAATAACTTTTTTCGTTTTAAAAGTTAAAGATAGACTTTCTTAAAATAATGGAAACTAAGATAAAGCTTCCAAGATAGCTCCTTATAGTTAGTTATGATTAAATACAGCAGTTCTAAAGTACACTTTGCCAAACTTCAATTTCTTTTAGCAAGGTAAATTAAATTCCTTTTATACAGGACCATTACTTTTCACACAGATGAGAATCTGCACACTCCGACTCCATTTTTTAAATATTCCAATAAGTGTCATGAAGTTCTAAGACATTTCATCAGGTATTCAGCCAGCACTTCGACACAAAAGGTGTTCAACTGCACATTTGGAAATAAGCTCACTAGACATTCAATCTTTGAAGAGTGTTAACAGTATCAAAACTAAGAAATCAGAATACAAGAGGGAATAGTTCCTTTTTAAAGACATTTTGGTTTTCAGTTAGCCTTAATTATCCCATCAAGCTTGTCAAGTGTAGCGCACAAAATCAACTATGAAGAGGCTGAGAGATCTAGAGGAAAATACCACTACTTACACTATTGCAAGGATTTCAAATATTTAACATATGAATGGTCAAAATACTTGAAAGTCAAGGATAAATATGGCACACATCATATCAGCACAATGTCATCTGCGGTGTTTTTTTCACTTTCACTTAAGATTCTCAAATTTTAATAGTTTTTAATATTAACAGTCAGAAAAGGACACGTGTGACCTGGAAACAGAAAAGCACAAGGAAAGGAAATAGAAACAAGAAAGCAAATGTTGTTTGAAAAAATGCCAAAATGAAACTTCATACTTGGTATACTAATCAAAAATATATATTCAGAAAACTTCTGAGTAAAGTTCTTTCCTTGAAATGGGATTTCCAGGTTTTTAAAGCCCTCCCCTGAAACATTTGAGGCAAACATAAAGCCTCAAAAATCATAGTATTTTCAAGAGAAATAGAGCAATAAACTGTCAAATGTCTGGGTCATGGGCCACACACAGAGTGTGACTGTAAGCTCTTATCTCACTGATGCTTTGCTATAAAAATGACAGGGAGAAGCAACTGGACCTGGGGGAGGCACTTCCTTCCTTTCCAGTTTTCTACACTTTGAGTCATCTTTCATATTCAATAATTTCTCAAAAGTTACTATATACATACACTTCCTAAATAAAGTGAACAAGCAGCTACCATATCTGCAACACTTATTGTTGATGTGTGAATATACAAGGGGTGTTTGAGGGGGTTGAAAACGTCTAACATTTTTTTTAATCAAACTGTATGTTTACTAACACTGAAATGATACCAAAAAAGGATATCCCACCTCAAAAAATCTTAAGAGAATATGCAATTAAAGTGAAAGTATGAAACAGAAAAGAAAAACACAGGCTCCTGGAGGGTGGGGCTAAACTGCTCTAGAGACATCACATCACCCCTAAGCAGCTCTGCTCAGATCACCGTCAGTGATATAAAGATGCTCAGAGCTCAAACACTAGAGAAATGGCCAAGAATTAAATGAGGGTAAAATAAGAAAGAAAAGCAGTGGTGTTCAGAAAAGGACAGTAAAAGAGAGGGAGAGTCAACAATCTGAAAGCTGGATAGAGAACGGACCACTCACTGCCTGCTGTAGTAACAATGAAGTCACAAGATTCCTTTCCGGAAATTTCTGGCAGGAAAATCTATTACAATCTTAAAATACATTAGTCAAGAGAATAAAGACTAGGTCAGAGCCTCACTCCCACTCTCTGAAGCAGAATGACAGTCCTAACTTAGCAATATGGAACAGAAAAAAGTGGTTCTTTGTCCAGCCCCAGACAGAGCTTTAAACAGAGGGCAAAACCATTTCAGCAAATCAGCAAGGAAAGCAAATTAATGTATGATTGCCTAAATCTTTAAAACCTAGACACAAAACTATGGATAAACTTCAGCATGTAGTGAATTAATATCAACAAATAAGCAAAACTTTAAAGAAATTTACTATGCACAATTTGGGAGTTTTAACTAGTGTCATCATTTTAATGAAAAGTAAACTCAGCTATTAATTGAATGCAATAGAATTTAAGAAACAAAAACATGTGGCCTACAAAAGAAAAAAATCTAAGTGATGAAAAAACTGAAAATCAATTTAACTTTTGTTGAATAAAAGTGTTAGAATCGGTGCTTATTTGCAATAATTTGCTTATTCAGAAAGTTTAAGCGCACAATATTTGATATAATTCTGAAAGTGACCCCAAGTTCTTTTCTTTCCTCAAAAATGTGATCACATTAAACTGTTTTCCTCGGAATAAAGCTCGACAATCAACTATCCAAGGAAGGATTGGCAGAAGACTCCAAATTCTGCAGAGGAATGCAACCGTCCCTAGGGGCCCTAGAAACCCAAATTTCAGAACTAGGGCAGAGGCTTCTGCAGTGCTTCCTTCCGGGTCCAAAGAGAGCGACGAAGGCTTTGGCTGGGGGAAGGCAACAAACTATTTAGCCACCTCTTTCCCAGAGTGGTGCTTTTGACAGAAGCGACAGGTGGGAAGACATGGGGAAAAGCCGCAGCGCTTATCCTAGGGACCGGCTCCGAGAGCAGGTACCATTTTAGGGCCTAGGGGGAAGGGGGACCAAGTGCCTGCGGTACTCTCCCAGGCGCGCACGCTTGTTCATGGATCCGGCGCATCAAGGCCAGTTTTGAAGACTGAGCATCCCGCGCGCCTCAGCATCCTGCCCACCGCAGGCGGGGTGCTCCGTCAGTACCTGCAGAGTGCACGTGGGACTGAGAGGTGCTGGGAACCGAGTGGAGGAGGCGTGGCCCTAGAGCAGCAGCCCAAGGTGCAGGGCGCAGGGTACAGGGTGCTCGCCGGCCGTGCGCGGTCCGGGTGTTCGCAGAGGCTGCGGGGAAGGCGTCGGGCATGCGCACGAGGCCGAGGCCGAGGCCGAGGCCAAGCCTGGGAGGGCAAGAGGGCGGAGGAGGCCCCGGCGCTCGACAGCTCTCGGCGGCCCCACCCCCGGCCCCGCGACCCCGCGGCAGGAAGGCGGGCAGCTGCGGACGCCGGGCCCGCTCGAAGACTGACCTTCCCGGAGGTGCCGTCCCCCAGCACGACGATTTTCAGTTGCCGGTCCTGGCTCTCCTCCTCGGAGTCTGACATGGTGTCCCGGGAAGCTGGCCCGCCCCCGCGGGGGAGGACGGGAAGGATGAGGCCGCCGGGGGGCGGGGGAGAGGAGACCGGCTGGCTGCGCGGGCAGGACCCCCGCGGACCCCCGGCGTCTCCGCAGCCCTGCAGGGAGCCGGGGAGAATCACCCGCCGGCCGCCATCTTGCCCGCTTCCCCACCCTCGCGAGGCCCCGCCCCCTTGCGCGCGTCGGCGGCATGCCCCGCCCCTGTGCGGCACGTGGGGGCACCCCCCTCCCCCCAGCTCCCACCATGGCCCTGCGATGGGGGAGAGCGGGGGACGCGGGCCGAGCGCTGCGCGGCCGGAAGAAGAAAGGCGGTGTGCCGCCGCATCACCGGGGCAGCCGTGGGCCCAGGAGGAGCGCTCTGGCAGTTCGTCCATCTTCCTGTTTCCGTCCCGTCTGAGAAGATCCCTCAAGAGAATGGTTTGGTCTGTGTAAGGGCGGGGAAGGAGGGGAAGTCCCCGCTGGTTGCCATGGAAGCCAGGCGTCCAGGGAGCGGTGAGGGGGTGGGGCCTGTCTCTGGGCAGCGGAATGCGCTTGGGGCTGCGCGCGCATCTCGCCTCCTAGCTGCGGAACGGAAGACGCTGTTAGGTGGAGGCATGAGTGGTTGCTAAGGCCGCGCGGAGTTGGGGAGGAAGGGTAGGGACGGGGGAGTTTGGGGGTTTGGA